ACGTACGAGCCACAGCCCGGCTGATCAGGAACTGACTTTAGATGCTTGTCCAGTGCCAGCTTAAAGATTGCCAGGGGTCTGTTGGTAATCCCCCTTATGTGTGCTGGGAGGCAGTTGAACAGTCTCAGGCCCCTGACACTTATTGTATGGTCTCTTAACGTGCTAGTGACACCCCTGCTTTTCATTGGGGGGATGGTGCATCCTCTGCCAAGTCTTTTGCTTTCGTAGTGAGTGATTTTCGTGTGCAAGTTCGGTACTAGTCCCTCTAGGATTTTCCAGGTGTATATAATCATGTATCTCTCCCTCCTGCGTTCCAGGGAATACAGGTTTAGGAACCTCAAGCGCTCCCAGTAATTGAGGTGTTTTATCTCCGTTATGGTGCTGGAGTAGGCACATTGGTGTTGTGTGCTGGAGTAGGCACATTGTGTTGTGGTGCTGGAGTAGGCACATTGTGTTGTGGTGCTGGAGTAGGCACATTGTGTTGTGTGCTGGAGTAGGCACATTGTGTTGTGGTGCTGGAGTAGGCACATTGTGTTGTGTGCTGGAGTAGGCACATTGTGTTGTGGTGCTGGAGTAGGCACATTGTGTTGTGGTGCTGGAGTAGGCACATTGTGTTGTGTGCTGGAGTAGGCACATTGTGTTGTGGTGCTGGAGTAGGCACATTGTGTTGTGGTGCTGGAGTAGGCACATTGTGTTGTGTGCTGGAGTAGGCACATTGTGTTGTGGTGCTGGAGTAGGCACATTGTGTTGTGTGCTGGAGTAGGCACATTGTGTTGTGGTGCTGGAGGAGACACATTGTGTTGTGTGCTGGAGTAGGCACATTGTGTTGTGTGCTTGAGTAGGCACATTGTGTTGTGGTGCTGGAGGAGACACATTGTGTTGTGTGCTGGAGTAGGCACATTGTGTTGTGTGCTGGAGTAGGCGCATTGTGTTGTGGTGCTGGAGTAGGCACATTGTGTTGTGTGCTGGAGTAGGCACATTGTGTTTTGGTGCTGGAGTAGGCACATTGTGTTGTGTGCTGGAGTAGGCGCATTGTGTTGTGGTGCTGGAGGAGACACATTGTGTTGTGTGCTGGAGTAGGCACATTGTGTTGTGTGCTGGAGTAGGCACATTGTGTTGTGGTGCTGGAGGAGACACATTGTGTTGTGTGCTGGAGTAGGCACATTGTGTTGTGTGCTGGAGTAGGCGCATTGTGTTGTGGTGCTGGAGTAGCACATTGTGTTGTGTTTCTGGGTAGGCACATTGTGTTTTGGTGTGGAGAGGCACTTGTGTTGTGTGTGGAGTAGGCACATTGTGTTGTGGTGCTGGAGGAGACACATTGTGTTGTGTGCTGGAGTAGGCACATTGTGTTGTGTGCTGGGGTAGGCACGTTGTGTTGTGGTGCTGGAGGAGACACATTGTGTTGTGTGCTGGAGTAGGCACATTGTGTTGTGTGCTGGAGTAGGCGCATTGTGTTGTGGTGCTGGAGTAGGCACATTGTGTTGTGTGCTGGAGTAGGCACATTGTGTTGTGGTGCTGGAGTAGGCACATTGTGTTGTGTGCTGGAGTAGGCGCATTGTGTTGTGGTGCTGGAGTAGGCACATTGTGTTGTGTGCTGGAGTAGGCACATTGTGTTGTGGTGCTGGAGTAGGCACATTGTGTTGTGTGCTGGAGTAGGCGCAATTGTGTTGTGGTGCTGGAGTAGGCACATTGTGTTGTGTGCTGGAGTAGGCACATTGTGTTGTGGTGCTGGAGTAGGCACATTGTGTTGTGTGCTGGAGTAGGCACATTGTGTTGTGTGCTGGAGTAGGCACATTGTGTTGTGTGTTGGAGTAGACACATTGTGTTGTGTGCTGGAGTAGACACATTGTGTTGTGTGCTGGAGGAGACACTGTGTGCTGTTCTTAAATTAAGATATCTTCACCAATATCAAGGCAACCTTGAATTAAGAGGAACATGACGCATGTAAGAACACATGGTTTAATAAGAGGAAGATGATACATGTAAGAACACATGGTTTAATAACAGGAAGATGATACATGTAAGAACACATGGTTTAATAACAGGAAGATGATACATGTAAGAACACATGGTTTAATAACAGGAAGATGATACATGTAAGAACACATGGTTTAATAAGAGGAAGATGATACATGTAAGAACACATGGTTTAATAACAGGAAGATGATACATGTAAGAACACATGGTTTAATAACAGGAAGATGATACATGTAGAACACATGGTTTAATAACAGGAAGATGATACATGTAAGAACACATGGTTTAATAACAGGAAGATGATACATGTAAGAACACATGGTTTAATAACAGGAAGATGATACATGTAAGAACACATGGTTTAATAACAGGAAGATGATACATGTAAGAACACATGGTTTAATAACAGGAAGATGATACATGTAAGAACACATGGTTTAATAACAGGAAGATGATACATGTAAGAACACATGGTTTAATAACAGGAAGATGATACATGTAAGAACACATGGTTTAATAAGAGGAAGATGATACATGTAAGAACACATGGTTTAATAAGAGGAAGATGATACATGTAAGAACACATGGTTTAATAAGAGGAAGATGATACATGTAAGAACACATGGTTTAATAAGAGGAAGATGATACATGTAAGAACACATGGTTTAATAAGAGGAAGATGATACATGTAAGAACACATGGTTTAATAAGAGGAAGATGATACATGTAAGAACACGTGGTTTAATAAGAGGAAGATGATACATGTAAGAACACGTGGTTTAATAAGAGGAAGATGATACATGTAAGAACACATGGTTTAATAAGAGGAAGATGATACATGTAAGAACACGTGGTTTAATAAGAGGAAGATGATACATGTAAGAACACGTGGTTTAATAAGAGGAAGATGATACATGTAAGAACACATGGTTTAATAAGAGGAAGATGATACATGTAAGAACACATGGTTTAATAAGAGGAAGATGATACATGTAAGAACACATGGTTTAATAACAGGAAGATGATACATGTAAGAACACATGGTTTAATAAGAGGAAGATGATACATGTAAGAACACATGGTTTAATAAGAGGAAGATGATGCATGTAAGAACACATGGTTTAATAACAGGAAGATGATACATGTAAGAACACATGGTTTAATAAGAGGAAGATGATACATGTAAGAACACATGGTTTAATAAGAGGAAGATGATACATGTAAGAACACATGGTTTAATAAGAGGAAGATGATGCATGTAAGAACACATGGTTTAATAACAGGAAGATGATACATGTAAGAACACATGGTTTAATAAGAGGAAGATGATACATGTAAGAACACATGGTTTAATAAGAGGAAGATGATACATGTAAGAACACATGTTTTAATAACAGGAAGATGACTAATGTAAAAACACATGGTTTAATTTGAGGAATATTTTGATAAATGATCCTAATCAAGAAATTAAATGGCGGGAAATTCATTATCATACATAAGCTTGTCTTAATCTGATGAAAAGCTTAAAGTTTGATTAATAAGGAAGTTTTAATTGTGTATGTTGCATCCTGTGAACTCCGGCGCGCGCGCACACAACGAATGTCCACACTGTCAATAAATAAACATAGTTAGCTAATTCTTGCCCGAGTATCTGGCCTTCTGGTGTTTATTTCCTCCGCTCTGAGAGTTCTAATGTTTATTTTCTTGGCTCTGAGTCAACACTAGAGACAGGGCTACCACTGGCGGCCATAATGTTTATTATTATATTTTGCCCAATGAAAATATTGAAATGGTAAACTACGTCTTCTCTTCATCCCACAAAATGGAACAATTTAGTCTATAATTTTTGAAGTATGTGACGTCCACTGTAGTATACTGTAATATTGTGCAACATGCTGCTATATTTTGCATCGTGAGACATTTTCTAGCAATATAATGTGACATCTCAGCATACATTATCATGCATATTAAAAGATGCAATATTCTGCATCTGTTAATATTCATGGTAATATATGCTGAAACTCTTCATATATTGCAATATTTACTTTCGTATGTTTCAGTATTTTACAGTAAGATTTTATTTAAGCCTCACACATAAGCTGAAACCTGTACAGTGGCTTTATAAATTATGTAAAATTTTAGCTAGAATAACCAAGTAAAGTCAAACAATGTTGCTTATTTTATTGGTGATCACTGATGCAACGTACTAATATGTTGCCTACTTACATACATATGGTTTAACAAAAAGTCTGTTTTTTTGGTTTTCATTTAGTCATCAAAAATTTCACTTACGAGAAAATAGAGAAAACATTTTGAAACCTTGGCTCATAGATGTGTGTACAGTATCTTTAACATTTAGGTCAATGATATATCTTTGTTACAGATGCAAGCATAAAATAAGCAGTTTCTTCCGAGCAGGAGAGCATCGTGCACAGTATTATTAGCCACTCACATAACATTATTTATAGCTTTCCATTTTTTAAGAAGTATCCTGGTGTTGTTGTGCTAACTTTATTACTGTTTCCCCAGGATCGCTTGTGTTGTGGTGTTGTTTTACTAACTTTATTACTGTTTCCCCAGGATCGCTTGTGTTGTGGTGTTGTTTTACTAACTTTATTACTGTTTCCCCAGGATCGCTTGTGTTGTGGCATCTCTTTCCTCGACACTCACGTGTAAAAACTCATCCAAAAAAGGAACGGGAAAATTCCTGAAGTTCTGATATTCTATACTTTTTTTTTTTGGAACTTGGTTGTAGTTCTATGTGCTTCTTTTTTAGTTTCCCGAATCGCTTGACTGCTTCATCACTTTTCACACTATACGCAAAAAAAAAAATTTGAGTTTAATTTATTCGATTTTTTATTCAAAGACGTCGCTAGAAAAATGCTCTTGGAAGCCAGAACTTTTTTTAAATTATTTGTCATAATAGCAGGAAAATTATGAGACATCTCGAGTTAGACTTCCCAATTTAAATACAACAATTGTCCAACAGAGGATCAACTTGAATGAGTTTCTAAGTTTTTTGGGTTATCTATAATATAGTGGTGTAACAGTGCAATGGATAAGAATAAATATGAAAAACCAAATAAGGCAATGGAAGCTCATGAACCATATTGTTTATTTACGTTTTTGTAGCATGATGCTGCTCTTAGAAGATCAGCCTTACATGTTTATGTGTGAGCAGTATAAAATAATTGTGCATATTACTTAGTGTTATCTTTTCTGTAAGCTTCAATAATAAAAAAAGAAAAAGATGGAAGCTTGCATTTTTCAGTATTTTTGATAAGCACAAATGAAAGTCATATAAACTAAAAAATGACTATTCAGTAACACCTAAGCAAGGCTGGCAGAGGGCGTGTATTCATGCAATACCGTCATGGACCCCAACATACTGACAGAGATTGACACCACGCCCTTCAAGACCAACAGCACTAGCAAATTGGGGCTCTCACATGGCGTCTACCCAAAGTATGTGCCGCCTTCTGCTGTGGTTGATACTGTGTCAGACACAACAGTACACAATGGTGGCCATTTTGACTCAAAGATATGCAATCTAAGTGTAGATTACACAGACGGCCTGGCCACCACCCTTGACACCTCCAGCGTTGTGTCCTCGGCCTCTTGGGAATTTAGTGTGGCCCAAACATGGAACCTCAGCACCTGGAACCTCACTCAGGCAGAGTTGGAGTTAAACTTGACAACGGAGAAAGAAGAAGTGCCTGGGTGGCAGAATTCTGGAGGCTGGCGTCCCCAGGTGGGGCAGTGGAGCCCCGGACTGCTGGCAATGACGGGATTGGCGCTCTACACTCTGGCACTCTGCACTGCTGTCGGCAATGCCCTAGTTATTCATGCTATCAGGACAGAGAAGCGTCTGCAAACGGTATGTCAAGCTTGTTTACTACCTGTTTTGTTAATTTTTCACTTTTCAACATGTAAAAAACAAGAATGGAAGTAGATACAGAGAGGTAGAATTCTACAAAATATTAATTACCCAGTTTTGCAACTTTAAGAATGTCACATAATTTTTTTTACTAAGACAATTAACAAGTACAAAATTAGACATGAAACTAAATGTCATTTAGATATAGCCACAACTCTAACCTCTCATAGTACGGATCCCTTAACTCTGGGACCAGTGCTTTATCAGATGCGAGTTCCATACTGGCGCTGCATTCTCCAAGACGAGTTTGATATACGCTCTTTATAAGGCGGTGAATAACTCCTTTTTTCACATTTCTGAAAGTTACCTTAAATATGCCAATCTCATGTTTACAATGGAGCTTATTGGTTGACGTATACCTCGTGCGAAATACTTTTGGATGCCTTCCCATGGTTGATGCATGGCCCTTGGATGTTACAGTGAGGTGGCGCTAGAAGTAATGAAAATGTTATGTTTGAGATCAAAGTCTGGTTTGCATATTATATAAAAAAATAAGGAGTAAAAAATTATAAGTGGTAATGGTAAGAGAGAGAGAGAGAAAGGAGGGGCTGAGATGGTTTGATCATGTTGAGCAGGATAGGTTAACAGAGAGGGTATATAAATCCAGTGCAGATGGAAGGTATATGAGACATTCCAGGAAGGGTTGGAGGGACAATGTGACGGAGGTTTTGAGTGATAGGCTGTGTATTCTGGTAGTTCCTGCTCTCTGAAAAAGAGGTAGAGACATTGCAGTTCTGAGGAACTGTGATGTATGAGCACTTGTGGCAAAACACCTATTGAATGAGTGATGGTAAATGTGTTTCCTTCTTTGGATCACCTCAGTTTTGTAGGGAACAATCAGTGGTAAAAAACAAGTACCATTCATTGTTGCTTCTTTACCTTGTAATGAAGCTACATCACATTTCCTTAATATTACTATTTTATCAAAACTCTGTTAATGTAATGAGTTGAGATAATGCTTTTCTCATGTAATTAATCTTAAACGGGGTTATACTATTTCCATTATTTGAAATAATTAACAGTTTCATGTTCTCCGAAAGATACCCAAATTTGTTCTGAAAGAATCCAGAGCATATGCTCAGAATATAAAGAAAGGTGTAAATGAATGTTGGGTGCTCGTGTTATTGCAGGTGCCCAAAGAACACAGGTGTATTTACAGGTGCGCAGCATTATCAGATTTATATGAATGTTTCATTCCGCAGGTTTCCAACTTGTTCATCATGAGCCTCGCAGCTGCTGACCTTACCGTGGGAGTTATCGTTATGCCCATCAGTGCTGCCTACGCCATGATGGGTAAGTTCAGCCACTGCAAGAATTTCAAATGTTCACGTCGAAATATTCTTAAAAAATCAATTGCTTTATATTCTAAAAGTTAAAACAGTCAAAAACTGTTGTAATATAACTGTTCTGAGGCAAGAAATGAAGGTAAAGGACAGGCTTTTGTTTTTTGAACTCTTTCACTAAGAGAGCCATATAGTGTCCCAGTGAAAGTTCAACAATGTGTCTTTCACTCTGTTAGAGCCATATAGTGTCCCAGTGAAAGTTCAACAATGTGTCTTTCACTCTGTTAGAGCCATATAGTGTCCCAGTGAAAGTTCAACAATGTGTCTTTCACTCTGTTAGAGCCATATAGTGTCCCAGTGAAAGTTCAACAATGTGTCTTTTCTTTAATATTGTCAGCAGTACGCCACTCAGAGCCAAGAAATGAAGTTGCCAATGTCTGAGATTTTAAAGATGTTGAAATAAACCAAATGTTCATATTAAGATTTAGAAAATCTTAGCTTAGCTCCTTTTAGAATTCTTAAGTGTAGAAATACAAAGATTCAAGTTAAGCTTTGACCTAACGAAGAATAAACGTAAATAATACATTAAGTATTCAGTGGTGCTGTAATAATAGCAGTTAATTAATAATATTAATAACATACGTGTAGTAACACATGTATCATCAGTAGTACTATAGTAGTATCAATAGTTCATCAGTGGTAGTGATAAGAATACATGTAGCATTATGCTGTTGTAGAAATTTAGTTTATTGGTAGAAGTAGAAAAAGTAGTAGTAACTGTAAGAGAAGTAAAGGGAGTAACAGTAATAACAGAAGTAATGGTAAGCTAGGTTCCTGGCTACTGCTGTACAGGAGGGTCCCGCTTATACAGCAGGTTAGGTTCCTGGCTACTGCTGTACAGGAGGGTCCCGCTTATACAGCAGGTTAGGTTCTTGGCTACTGCTGTACAGGAGGGCCCCGCTTATACAGCAGGTTAGGTTCCTGGCTACTGCTGTACAGGAGGGTCCCGCTTATACAGCAGGTTAGGTTCCTGGCTACTGCTGTACAGGAGGGTCCCGCTTATACAGCAGGTTAGGTTCCTGGCTACTGCTGTACAGGAGGGCCCCGCTTATACAGCAGGTTAGGTTCCTGGCTACTGCTGTACAGGAGGGTCCCGCTTATACAGAAGGTTAGGTTCCTGGCTACTGCTGTACAGGAGGGTCCTGCTTATACAGCAGGTTAGGTTCCTGGCTACTGCTGTACAGGAGGGTCCCGCTTATACAGCAGGTTAGGTTCCTGGCTACTGCTGTACAGGAGGGCCCCGCTTATACAGCAGGTTAGGTTCCTGGCTACTGCTGTACAGGAGGGTCCCGCTTATACAGCAGGTTAGGTTCCTGGCTACTGCTGTACAGGAGGGTCCCGCTTATACAGCAGGTTAGGTTCCTGGCTACTGCTGTACAGGAGGGTCCCACTTATACAGCAGGTTAGGTTCCTGGCTACTGCTGTACAGGAGGGCCCCGCTTATACAGCAGGTTAGGTTCCTGGCTACTGCTGTACAGGAGGGTCCTGCTTATACAGCAGGTTAGGTTCCTGGCTACTGCTGTACAGGAGGGTCCCGCTTATACAGCAGGTTAGGTTCCTGGCTACTGCTGTACAGGAGGGCCCCGCTTATACAGCAGGTTAGGTTCCTGGCTACTGCTGTACAGGAGGGTCCCGCTTATACAGCAGGTTAGGTTCCTGGCTACTGCTGTACAGGAGGGTCCCGCTTATACAGCAGGTTAGGTTCCTGGCTACTGCTGTACAGGAGGGTCCCGCTTATACAGCAGGTTAGGTTCCTGGCTACTGCTGTACAGGAGGGCCCCGCTTATACAGCAGGTTAGGTTCCTGGCTACTGCTGTACAGGAGGGTCCCGCTTATACAGCAGGTTAGGTTCCAGGCTACTGCTGTACAGGAGGGTCCCACTTATACAGCAGGTTAGGTTCCAGGCTACTGCTGTACAGGAGGGCCCCGCTTATACAGCAGGTTAGGTTCCTGGCTACTGCTGTACAGGAGGGTCCCGCTTATACAGCAGGTTAGGTTCCTGGCTACTGCTGTACAGGAGGGTCCCGCTTATACAGCAGGTTAGGTTCCTGGCTACTGCTGTACAGGAGGGCCCCGCTTATACAGCAGGTTATGTTCCTGGCTACTGCTGTACAGGAGGGTCCCGCTTATACAGCAGGTTAGGTTCCTGGCTACTGCTGTACAGGAGGGTCCGCTTATACAGCAGGTTAGGTTCCTAGCTACTGCTGTACAGGAGGGCCCCGCTTATACAGCAGGTTAGGTTCCTGGCTACTGCTGTACAGGAGGGCCCCGATTATACAGCAGGTTAGGTTCCTGGCTACTGTTGTACAGGAGGGTCCCACTTATACAGCAGGTTAGGTTCCTGGCTACTGCTGTACAGGAGGGTCCCGCTTATACAGCAGGTTAGGTTCCTAGCTACTGCTGTACAGGAGGGCCCTGCTTATACAGCAGGTTAGGTTCCTGGCTACTGCTGTACAGGAGGGCCCCGATTATACAGCAGGTTAAGTTAGTAACAGAAATAATGGTAGTAATAGAAGTTAACCTTGATTTAATAAATTTCTGAAATATGTGGCAAAATATGCTGGGTCATTTGATACGGTAACAACACGGTACGTTTATTACAGAATTGTCAGTTATTGTTACTGTTTTAACAAATCAGTCTCATTATGCACCTCAATCACCATTACCAGCCTACCTCTCCCTTTCGTCATTTGTCCGTTAAATCAAGAGTTTACTACTACTACTAGTAGTAATGGTGGTAGTAAGAGCAATAATAATGATAGTGACCAGATATGGTTAAGATTAGTCGGTATCAATAAATGGAAACTTCAAGTAAGGATCTGTCTAGAAGGACATGTAAAAGTGTTTCATAAGAGGAGAAAGTTGTTCGTGTATATTTGAAATGCATGATGATATTTGAAGGTCACTACCAGAGGCTGAATTTTCATTCTATACGTGAATTCTCATTCATTTTTTTTCAGATTCAGTTGTATTTATGGGCAAAGCAAATGTGTACACCACCTGGAGTTTCACAAACGACACTCACATTTACCTCAGTAGCAGACAAAAAGTTCTTTTTTCAGTTAGTGTTATTTATTGTTTATATGTGACAAGGCAGTAAACCTGTGAGAGTGTTGCAGTGGTGAACAACACCGTCAACAATACCTACAATAAAGCAAATGTAATGCAAGGGTGAGTGATACAATAATGCAATATATTCTTATAACAAAACAAAAAGGTCAAAATAAAACAAAGTTGATACAATATGGCAATGATGTGAAAAAAGTTATGGTGTAATTACCAAAGTTATTAGCAAGCAATGCCCCTAATAAATAATTTACACAATTTATTTAAAATTTGTTCCAGGTAAAAGCCTACAAATCAGTGAAAAATATATGATTTAAAAAATGGAGGTGATCCTACAAGGTGCAGTCCATGATACAAAAATAAAATTCACCCCATGCCAAAATTTACTTATAATTCAAAGTTTGTGTATTAAGAGTCCCTCACTACCATTATCAATGCACCTTTTTCTTGAAGGATCGAAGTATTCAGCAAGAGTGAATTATAATTTCCCCATGGAACATGTGACACGAACACCTTCATGTACAATGATCTACCTTTTCTCACTAATAATGTCTGTGGGCAATTTACACAGTAAATTATTGCTGCTCTGTGGTGCAAGCGACCTTAATTAGCGACCAACAGATGTTTGAATCGAACATTTCAAGCATGAATATAAAACAATGCAGGCATTAACGGATGTTTACTTCTGATGCACTGATAATCGAAATTCATTTCGCAGGTACGGTATTATCAGTATAATGCATTAAATAAATTAGCATTACATGGACTAATCAAATAATGAATGAATAATTACTCATATCAGTCTTTTGATACAAGCTGTAAATGTGAGTAGAACAATATTACATGGCAACCGCTTGAGTGAGGAACAGTGTGGATGTAGGACAAGTACCAAGTGAGGTACATAGTGTGTGGATGTAGGACAACTACTCATGTATATCAGGTGTTGATGTTTACTTTCCCTACAGGAGAGTGGAGGCTAGGGCTGGCAGTGTGTCAGTTCTGGTTGGCTGCAGATTATACTGCTTCCACTGCTTCCATCTTCAATCTGGTGATCTTGTCATTGGATCGCTACTGGTCTATTACTGCCCCGTTGCGCTATCTGCGGCGACGCACACGACGGCGGGCTTGGGTCATGATCGGTGCCTCGTGGACGGCAGCCACAGCCTGGCTAGTGCCAGTATTGGCATGGCACCACCTGGCACTGGGTGGCCTCAGACATCATCCACCTTTTGTGTGCGAGACTGAATTCTCTAACAGTGCTGCCTTCAAAGCTGTTACTGCAGCACTCAATTTCTATTTACCAACGGCTCTTATGGTGTACCTGTACTGCCGTATATTTCGCGAGGTGCAGTCTCGGCAGGTGCTAGGGCGAGTGGCCTTCACTAGTCACGAGCTGCTAACAGACTCTTGCAGTGAGGCAGAGCAGCGACTGCCCCGCCCCACAACACAACCCCGCAACACGCAGACAACCATGCACCACCTCCCAACCATCACAAACTTTAACCAGTGCACTCAGTTTGGCAGCTTGACTCTGGTGTCTCCAGGAAGGCACGACTGTTCATACTATGCAGGTGTAACAGTGAGTGTGGAATATCTACCTGATGACTCTGCCCACACCTCTCCAACACATAATCACTTCAATCACCAGCAGCCACAGCAGGAACAAGAGCAACAGCTGCCACATCAAAATCAACTGCATCAACAACGACGACAAGCCGGAACAAAGCGATTGGGGCCTCATCACAACCACATTCATTGTTATCAGAGCAGCACACGTCCGCACTCTTGGAACCCCTTAACACCTTCCCCAAACAGAGTGAGGAAACAAAAGTGGGGCAGTAGCTGGCGAGTGAGCACGGTGTCACAGATGCAGAGGTCTAACAACAGCTCTAACAGCACATCATCTACCATCACAACGGCTACTAATGGCACTAAGAAGAAACGGACTATAGCGTGCAACAACAATGGAGGAAGTGGAGGAGGGAGGCGAGTAGAAGGTGTCAACTTAGCCAAAGAGAGAAAAGCAGCACGGCAACTGGGAGTGATTGTGGGGGCATTCATGGCTTGCTGGGTGCCATATTTCACTCTCTTCCCCATTATGGCACTATGTGACACGTGTGTTCCTGCCCATGCCCATACTGCAACCATCTGGCTTGGTTACCTTAACTCTGCCCTAAATCCTGTCCTCTACCCTCTTTGCAACCATAACTTTCGTAGAGCCTTTGCCAGGATGCTGAGGCTGCCAACCCGCAAACCCAACAATTATGCAAGTGCCCAGAGGATGGCCACCATAACAGTTAGACACTGACCTTTAGTGTGTAGGCCACTCATACGACTCGACTCACTGCCTCTGACAAGTTTAAGAATAACTTAAAGCATACACTCAAACAACACAAACTTCAACTGTATTATAATGCTACTGGATAAATTATAATTTAAGAACAAAGTATTCTGTCAACAATGATAGGCATTCATATACTTTCAATAATGATTTACTTTAAAATACACTGAACTTTCTAAACTACAGTGCATATATATGAATGAACATTTCTCTACATTTTGAATTTATAATAGATAATTCTTCCAGCCTAAAATACCATGGAAAATTATGAAAGTAAGATTGTTGAAAATTATTGTTCTGATTTCTACATATTTTGTATGTTGTAGCAATTAATGTTTACTGTTCTTGTAGAAGAGACCATTTATGTAAATCCACTGTCTTGTAATTAAAAAAAGGACAATTTTTCACATTTCCCATCTTAAATGTATCTGTTGTGAATAGCGATATCTACCGGGCGCTATATTTTCAGTAAGAAGGCTGAGTTTACACCACAGTGTTACTGCCAAACAGGAGGTGGAAATCTAGCAAACAAATTTTGTTGTACATTAGTACAGTTGACGAATTTTGATAATAGAAATGAATGATTTACTATTAATCATTGAGTGTCTTCAGTTGCCTGCCATACAGTGTTTGACATTCCTTAATGATAAGACAGTCATGTAAGTCACTCATTTACAAAATCTGTGAATGATACGATAATTACAATATAAGACATTCTTCTGAGAATATCAATCACTTTCACAAGTTTACATCATCACTGTGTTCTACCACTACAGCATACTGTACAGTATTTAGAATACATTGCTTCTGTAATATAATTTAAAATAAAAGTATCTTCAGAAAAGTATTTTGTTCTTGTTAAAACTGGTCACATGTATGTGTACTCACCTAGTTGTACTCAACTAGTTGTACTCACCTAGTTGTGGTTGCAGGGGTCGATTCATAGCTCCTGACCCCGCCTCTTCACTGGCCGCTACTGGGTCACTCTCCCTGAACCGTGAGCTTCATCATACCTCTGCTTAAAGCTATGAATGGATCCTGCCTCCACCACATCGCTTCCCAAACTATTCCACTTCCTGTCTACTCTGTGACTGAAGAAATACTTCCTAACATCCCTGTGATTCATGTGTGTCTTCAACTTCCAACTGTGTCCCCTTATTGCTGTGTCCCGTCTCTGGCATATTCTGTCTCTGTCTACCTTGTCAGTTCCTCTCAGCATTTTATGTCATTATCATGTCCCCCCTGTCTCTCCTGTCCTGTTTGTGTGAATATAATATATAATGTATGTATGTAGGTATTCAACATGACGGTCGTCTTCCACCGAGGCAGGGTGACCCAAAAAAGAAAGAAACACTTTCACCATCATTCACATAGTATCACTGTCTTTGTAGAGGTGCTCGGTTATGACAGTTTAGATGTCACTTCAAGCAGCCAATATCTCAAACCCTTCCTGTAAAGTAAAAACATTGTACTTCTCGCCTCCAGGACTCAAGTCCTGCTAACCGGTTTCCCTGAATCCCTGCACAAAATATTACTCTGCTCGAACTCCAACAGCTTGTCAAGTCCTTCCCCGAAAACTACTCGTCTCCATTTACTCCTATCTAACGTGCTTACACATGCCTGCTGTATGTCCATGTCCATTGCACACAAAACCTCTTTCACCCTTTCCATCCATCTTTTTTAGGACTATACCTACCCCTCCTCCCCTCTACTACAGATTTATACATCCTGCGAGTCATCCTATTTTGCTCCATCCTCTCTAAATGACCAAACCACCTCATCAACCCCTCTTTAGCACTCTGACTAATACTTTTGGTAACTTCACATCTCCTAATTTCCACACTACGAATTCTCTGCATAATATTTACACCACACATTGCTCTTAGACACGACATCTCCACTGCCTCCAGCCTCCATCTTGCTGCAGCATTTACAACCCATTCTTCACACCCATATAAGATTTAGATTTTGCCACCGAAGTGGCTAGTTTATTGTGTACCCCATATCCATCCTGTGAACGGTAGCGCAAGAGCATATGGATACACATAAGGCCTAGGAACTAGGCCCCAAAAGGGTTAACGGGTGTACATATGGGTTTATATCTACATATCTACAGTTCACTTATCTGTTACAAGCAAATTTAGGAAATTTGCTTAGTATATCTGGTATCTTATTTTCATTAATAAGATATCTTGACATGTCACATAGGTTATTATACTGTCTGTCTCTGTATTTCTCAATAAGTGGACAATTAAGCACATAGTGTTCAAGACAGTGACCATATGCCTGATCACATCATTTTCATTTAGTTTGAGCATCATCTGTGTGTCTCCCAAACTGCCAGAAGTACTTGTAACCAAGCCTAAGCCTTGGCCACTACAACATCAGTCAGTCTGTTCACATTGCAAGTTGCTCCATAAACATACTTATCTACGTTCATGTTATCATAGTGGGTTATAGATCTACTCAGGCTTCTAACTGCATTCCTATAACAATCATTTTCATTATTTACTTGTCTCCTAATATTATTCCTAATGCTAGACACAGTTATACCAAAGTTATATTCTACATTCTCCTTCTGTGTACTCTTCTTGGCTAACATATCAACTTTATCATGAAGGAGTAATCCAATGTGTGATGGGATCCATAGCAATTGGACATTAATCCCTTTGCCCCTGATTTTTTAATATCTATACCTGGCTTCTCCAATGAGCATGTTGGAGCCATTATATGAGTCAAGAACCTTCAATGATGACATAGAATCAGTAATGATGATAGAGTCAAGCTCAGTGTCATTAGAGTCAAGCTCAGTGTCATAAGTTAGCTTTAGCGCCAATAGGATTGCAAATAATTCAGTTTGCAATGTAGACGCCCAGTGCCTGATAAGTGGAAAATGGCAAATGTAATACCTATTTACAAGTCAGGTGACAGGTCCTTGGCTTCGAATTATAGACCAATAAGCCTTATCTCCATAGTGGGAAAATTTATGGAATCAATAATTGCCGAAGCAATTCTTGATAGGCACAGATTGATTAATGAATCTCAACACAGTTTTACGAAGGGGCGTTCCTGTCTTTCGAATTTACTAACTTTTTTCACTAAGGTATTTGAGGAGGTAGATCATGGTAATGAATATGATATTGCGTATTTGGACTTCAGTAAGGCTTTCGATAGAGTTCCACATCAGAGGCTATTGAGGAAACTTAAGGCACACGGAATAGGAGGAGAAATTTTTTCCTGGGTAGAGGCATGGCTGACAAATAGGCAGCAGAGAGTTTGCATAAATGGGGAGAAATCAGAGTGGGGAAGCGTCACGAGCGGTGTTCCACAGGGGTCAGTGTTGGGCTCGTTGTTCACAATTTACATAAACGACATAGATGAGGGAATAAATAGCGACATAAGCAAATTTGCTGATGACACCAAAATAGGCCGTCCAATTCATTCTAATGAGGACACTAGAGCACTCCAGGATGATTTGAATAGACTGATGCAATGGTCGGAGAAGTGGCAGATGCAGTTTAATATAGACAAATGCAAGTTCTAAATGTTGGACAGGAAAATAACCATGCGACATATAAACTAAATAATGTAGATCTTAATACTACTGATTGTGAAAAGGATGTAGGAGTTCTGGTTAGCAGTAATCTAAAACCAAGACAACAGTGCATTAGTGTTAGCAATAAAGCTAACAAAATTCTTGGCTTCATATCTAGAAGTATAAATAATAGAAGTCTTCAGGCTGTTCTTCAACTCTATATATCCTTGGTTAGGCCTCATTTAGACTATGCTGCTCAGTTCTGGTCACCGTATTACATAATGGATATAAATGCTCTGGAAAACGTACAGAGGAGGATGACAAAGATGATCCCATGTATCAGAAATCTTCCCTATGAGGATAGACTAAGGGCCCTGAATCTGCACTCTCGAAAGGCGTAGAATTAGGGGGGATATGATCGAGGTGTATAAATGGAAAACAGGAATAAATAAAGGGGATGTAAATAGCGTGCTGAAAATTTACAGCCAAGACAAGACTCGCAGCAATGGTTTCAAGCTGGAAAAATTCAGATTCAAGAAGGATATAGGAAAGCACTGGTTTGGTAATAAAGTTGTGGATGAGTGGAACAAACTCCCGAGTACAGTTATTGAGGTTAAAACGTTGTGTAGCTTTAAAAATAGGTTAGATAAATACATGAGTAGGTGTGAGTTGGACCTGACTAGCTTGTGCTGCTGGGTCTGGTGCCGTGCTCCTTCCTTGAGTGGAGGCGACCAGACTGGGTGGGTCATTGGGCTAATCCGGGGGGTTGGGGGACATGGACCTGCTCTGCATGGGTCAGTAGGCCGGTTGCAGTGTTCCTTCTTTCTTATGTTCTTATGCGTAACTCAACAAATTTATTATCGTTCTTAACTAGGGAGGTAGCAACAAGAGCAGATGCAGCCCTGCCAGAAAACTCTTGTTTAGATCCATCAGCGTATATAACTAGTGATAACTTATTACTACCAGCTAAGCGAGAAATTTCTTCTTGAGCAGTTGCTTTAACAAGTGATTTAAGGAAGGGATTACTAGCAATGAGCTTCTTGGGAGGGACTTGCAGGTATGTGATATTAAATGAACACATCTTCCATGAAGGGGTGAAATGCTCTTGTTGCCTACAGTGATACAGTTCATGCAGGTTATAAAACTTAATGCAATTGCACGTTTTCACAATCCATTTAGATCTGTATGTATTTACCTCTAGACCCTTGGTAAGATTCATTGTGACAGTGTCTGGTTCATTTCTTAACATTTTAATACCGAGTACAGTGTTAATCTCAACAATCCTATCACTGATACTAGAAATACCAAACTTCTTAAATAACAAAAAAAGGCACAATACCGTGACTGGAACGATACACAAATAACCCGCACATAAAAGAGAGAAGCTTACGACGACGTTTCGGTCCGACTTGGACCAAGTCGGACCGAAACGTCGTCGTAAGCTTCTCTCTTTTATGTGCGGGTTATTTGTGTACCAAGCTCCTTCCTCATATTAAGAACCTTTGTAGATTTGGGATACCCAAGAATAATTCTGAGAGCTTCATTTTGCATTAACTCCAAGGGTCGGAGAGAACTTTCTCTAGCTAATGTCAGCATGGGAGCAGCATAATCAATTAAGGACCTAACATAGGCTATGTACATCATTCTCACGATTTTCACATTAGCACCATAGTTGGGGTTGTAGCCAGCAACAGCTTTGAGAGCATTTAACCTATCTTTGCATTTCTTGTTTAGTTGTGGTATAGTGGATTTGTTAAAGGGTACATCTACACCAAGATATCTGTAAGTTTTAACGTAGCTAATGTTTTCACCCTGCAAATAGATGGGTGGGGGATGTCGTTTGCTTGTTAATATCTTTGTTTTAGAGGAGGATATTATGAGGCCTAGTCAGTTACAAATTGCTTGAACTTCATTAAGAGTGGTACTCATCATCTTATGCCCTGTTGTATGGATCATGATGTCATCAGCATAGCTTATAGCTATATGTTTAGGTGAGGCAGGTAGAGCATTTAGGAGAGCATTAATCAGAATATTAAATAACATGGGACTGAGAACTCCTCCGTGCAGTGTACCTAAAGACATTTCTTTAGACTCGCTTCTAAAGCCTTGGTAGAGGACAGAGGATACTCTATTTGACAGGTATCCTATTATCCAGCAGAGTAAGCTGCCACCAATATTCATTTTGGCTAGTTCATGTAGTATATCTGTTCGCAATATCAAATGCAGATTTTAGATCAAGAAAAGTGGTAAAACTAGTAGAGGTGTGTGCAGTGAGAAAGATGGAAATACAGTTCT